TTTAAGTGCATGGAATTTCTCCTTCCATGGAGGAGGTAAAGTTGGGATTTAAGTGCATGGAATTTCTCCTTCCATGGAGGAGGTAAAGTTGGGATCTAACTGCATGGAATTTCTCCTTCCATGGAGGAATGATGGCTTGGCACCTTGGGATTTGACTGCATGGAATTTCTCCTTCCATGGATGGGGGCAAGCTGGCAGTGAGTGCCAGCCTGCAGCAGCACAAGTTCCAGTACATCTTCGAGGTCAGGCACTTCCCAAGCCTCCCTCCAGAAAGGGTTTTCCACTCTCATCCCAAAGCTCCACGGGGCTCCTTTCCTTGCTGCTGTCACCTGCAGAGCATCGATGAGTGAGAACTGTGTGGGAGAGCTGGGAATGTTCTCCTGGAGAAGGGAAGGATCCAGGGAGAGCTTCCAGCACATTCCAGGGCCTGGAGGGGCTCCAGGAGAGCTGCAGAGGGACTGGGGACAAGGATGGAGGGACAGGACCCAGGGAATGGCTCCCACTGCCAGAGGGCAGCCATGGATGGGATCTTGGGAATGAGGAATTCCTGGCTGGGCTGGGATTGCCAGAGCAGCTGGGGCTGCCCCTGGATCCCTGCAATGTCCAAGGAAATGTTGGACACCGGGGCTGGAGCAGCCTGGGACAGTGGGAGGTGTCCCTGCCATGGTTGGGGTGGCACTGGAGGGGCTTTGAGGTCCTTCCCACCCAAACCATCCTGGGATTCTGTGATTCCCTGTTTGTTCAAGAAGAGGGAAATGATTCCACACAGAGCCCCGGGGACCATTCACATCCTGTGGAAGTTTAAATTCATACTCATGCTCCTCCTTAAGCACAGGCACCTCTTAAACCCGGGTCTGGGACTTACAGATTTCCCACACTGGCTCCCTGTACATGAACTAAATCCTTAATTTAGACTTTTAATTGGCCTCTGGGCTCGCCCAGACCTGTGCAGTGCAAATCAAGCTGGGTTCTTGTGCTTTGTAGTGTGGCACGAGTGGATGCATCATTTTGGGGGTGCCTGTGTCCCTTAGCCCCAGCTGTGCAAATCCTGGTTAAAAATCAGTGGTTGTGATAACACAGCTCCAAGGTTTGGGGCATTTGCCCTTCTGACATCCTTCAGACACAGGAAACTGTTCAGGACTGATCAGAGAGGGGTTGTGCATCAGGGGCATTGGAATGCAGCTCATTCCTGCTCCTGGAGACTGAATTTATCAGGACAAACAGGGAAAGCCCCACCCTGGATAAAAATTAAAATTCCTGGATTAAAATCATCAGGAGCTGCAGTGACCCACTGCTCTGCCCAGACAGGGAGAGAGACTGGAAGGAACATTATGCAAATCCTGGTTAAAAATCAGTGGTTGTGATAACACAGCTCTACGTTTTGGGGCATTTTTGTGTTTTTACTAAAGAGGTGGAAAGTCCTAAACTGCACCATGAAGGTTCCTGAGGGTTTCCAGGTAAAATCCAATTATCCCTTGGTCCAGCTCACAGGCACCACTCAACAGAGCTCATTTTGGGGTTTTTACCATTAATTATTGGCACTAAATCTCTTCCCCCACTTGCAGGCTTGGGCCACCTCATCTCCTGCATCCTCATCAACGGCGCCCACTACTTCAAGCGCATCAGCGAGTCGGGCATCAAGAAGATGTGCAGGAACATCTTCATCCTGCAGCAGAACCTGACCAACATCACCATGTCCCGGGAGGCCGACCTGGACTTCGCCAGGTGAGCACAAACCTCGGCCTTTGTCGCTCTCCTGGTGCCCATGGGAGCTGAGGTGGCTCCTTCCAAAAGCCTCAGGTGGCCCCGGCGAGCGGCAAGTTCAAGCGCTGGTGGCAATTTTGGCTTTCCTTTGGTTGGACGGCGTTCAGAGGGACGTGGAGTCGTGGAATCAGGGGGGTTGTTAAGGTTTGGGAAGATCTCCAAGGTCGTCAAGTCCAAATGTGGATCAGTCGAGGCTGATGTGAGGTCCCACCAAAGTGTCTGCGCTTGGTGGCGCTTCCTTGGGGCTTCTCCAAGACCAAAACCCAGGCAGGGAAAAGCTTCCAAAGGTGGTGGGTAAAATTTAAACAGGATGAAACTGGGGCTTGGATTTATTCCCAGGTGAGAAATATTTTGGTTTGTTGAAGGCTCGGGGTCACCAGATCCAGGTTGGCTTGAAGGGACATCTCCCTCACCTTGAAATAGCAGGAACAGCAAAATAAACCCAAAGTAACCCCAAAACTGGGTGTGACAGATCCCATGCAAAGCTCTCCCACATTCTGGGGTTTCTTCACTCAAGGCTTGAGGGATAAGCAGGTGAAGGCAAGCCCTGAGCAGTGGTTTTGGCAGCTGGACTCAGGGCTGGCTCAGGAGCTCCTCGGCTGATCCGGGTCAGGAGGGGACAGCTGAGCCCAGGAGCTGCCAGAGGAAAGGTCTGGAGCTTGGAAATGGAGGAGTGGGCTCAAACGAGAGAGGTTTGTGTGAAACTTGGGTCTGACCCACCACAAACTCTTGGTGCCATCGCTTGGCCATGCTGCTGGAGGCTGAATTCGGAGGGAGGTTGGAACTGCCTGGATGAGGAGTGTGACTGAGTTTGGGATCTCTCCTGGGCATGGATCATTGCTGAATTCATTTCTTCAGGTCACCATTGGCATGAGGAAGTGGTGGAGGCTGAGGCCTGCAGGAGGGGGAGGGAGGAAGATCCATTAGCAACTCTGCAAGGAATAAACTTCCCAAATGTAATATTTTCTTTCTTGAATGACTGTCCTGTGGGGAAGGAATTTTCCTGATATCCAACCCTAACCTCCTCTGGCATGATTTGAGGCCACTTCCTTGTGTCTTGTCCCTTGTTCCTTGGGGACAGAGCCTGACCCCCACCCTCCCACATCAGCTTTGTGCAGAATTCTTCCCATCAAATCAACTCAGCAACACTTCTTTTATTCCTTTTGCAGCTTCATCGCTTCCCTCTTTTCTTTTGGGGCATAATTCCATGCTCCGTTTGATTGTTTAGTTCTTCAGAGGACTCCTGAATGTTTAAATGTTTATTACCCAGCTTCTCCTTTGACATAAACGAGGCTCTGGTGCATCCAAGCCCTGCCCTGCTCACCTGAATTCACAATCACCTGAGCAAGGTTCTCACGTCACCCCAGGGACTCCACGGTACCCAGATCGACTCAAAACGATTAAATAAACATAACAGCTCCCCTCCAGAAAGCATAAAACAGCATCAGGCTGGGATAAAAGTGATTTGTGCCTCTGTGATACGGCTCAGGCAGGAATCTGTAAACGCTCTGTGCTGTGGAGAACTCTCACTTTGGCCTTTTTTTCCAATATAAAGTGGATATTTTATTTTTTTTTTTTTTTATGTACAGGAGCAGTGGCACAGCTGATGGAGAAATCCAGGGATAAATTCCCTCCCTGCTTCACTTCTCCAGGGAACTGGAGGGTCGTGAGTGAGGCAGGAGGCTCCCAGCCCTGCTTGGATATTTCTGTGTCCATGACCCTGAGGCTTCCAGCAGCAATTAGGCACAATTAACAATCAATCTCCACACAGCCCCTCTCCGTGCCTTAAATCTGAATTCTGGAGCAAGTTCCCTTGTCTCAAAGTGAGCCTCTTTGAAATCAGTTTGTAGGAAAAACCAGACCAGCTGAGAAAGGACCAAAAGTTCTTTAAGGTTTTCCTGAGCGTTGTGATTTTGATTTTTGTTTTGTTTTGGTTTTTTTAATTTATCACTTCTGATATGGTCTTCAAGGGTTTTTAGAGGCCCCAGAGAACCCTGGGCATCCCTTTCTCCTCTGCTCAGTGACCTCAGGCAGGAGAAACTCCAGCCAGGGAAGCTGGAAGGGGAAACCCTTTCTCCTCTGAAGCCAAAATCCCGTGGAGGATTCTCAGCAAGCCCAGGTAACACTTGTTGGTCCTGGTGAGGCTCTTGCTGTTTAAATCCCATTTTTCCAAAGCTCCGTAACCTGCAGGTGACAACAGCAGCATTTGCTGCTTTGGGAGCAGTCCCATGGCAAGGGGAAAATGTGTTTTAAATGAGTTTTGCTTTCAGATTCTCAGTTCAAGGCAGGGAAAGTCTCAGCAGAGCATCACAGGGCAGAGCTGGAGCACGTTTCCACTGGAAAAAAAAAAAAAATTAAATTGCCAAGTGGTGTGAGTTTTTCCACCAAGAGAAAGGCTGGTTCTGACTGCTGAGGTGTCACAAAGGATTTGTGGCATTTGCTAAATTTCCTGCAAATATTAATAGGTTTTTCACTCCTGTGTGTGTTCAATATCTAGGCCAGCAGAAATGCAGGAGGTTGTTGGGGCTTCCACTGCTTTATTGAGGAAAAATTAGGATTTTCTCCCTGTGGAACATCCAGGCATGTGCTGCAAAGTCTGGGACTGAGCATGACTTCCAAATACCTCCAAATTACCAGCTTCACACCCAGAATTAGATCTGTGGCACGAAAGGGATAAAAGCTTCAAATTTGAATTCCTACTCAGGTCCTTCCCCTTGTGTCTTCTTTCCTCCTCTCCCTCTATCCCCACCCAAAATTCTCTGAGAATTTATAAAGATTTCACCAGAGGCAGTCACAAAGGGTGAGGATTCTGCTTCAGAGTCAGCCTCGAATGAAAAAATCAGTGAAAAAAAAAAGCAACTTTCTGAGTCACACAAGTGTTAGCACTGAGTGTTCCGGAGAGTGAGCTGAGGTGGTTGTGAAGGGAGCAGGGATGAAACGGGAACATTTTCTCTAACAAGTGTCACTGTGACCTCGGGAATGAAAGTTCCTGAGCAGGGCTGTCACTGTCCCTGGTCTCAGAGTCCTCCTGCCTCAGGAGGTGGCAGCAGAGGGATCCGGGGTGGGAACACCCCTGGAGTGAGCTGGAGCTTTCTCCGTGCTGCCATTCCAGTTGTTCCCCCTCCTGCAGGGACCAGAGTCTTTTCCTGCTGTTGATGACAATACCAGGGATACTGGCTGGGACATTCCAGGGATATTGTCTGGGACATTCCAGGGGTATTGGCTGGGACATTCCAGGGATATTGGCTGGAATATTCCAGGGGTATTGGCTGGGACATTCCAGGGATGTTGGCTGGGATATTCCAGGGGTATTGGCTGGGATATTCCAGGGATACTGGCTGGGATATTCCAGGGGTATTGGCTGGGACATCCCAGGATATTGGCTGGGATATTCCAGGGGTATTGGCTGGGACATCCCAGGGATATTGGCTGGGACATTCCAGGATATTGACTGGGACATTCCAGGATATTGACTGGGACATTCCAGGGATATTGCCTGGGACATTCCAGGGATATTGGCTGGGACATTCCAGGATATTGACTGGGACATTCCAGGGGTATTGGCTGGAATATTTCCAGGGATATTGGCTGGGACATTTCCAGGGGTATTGGCTGGGACATGTCCCTGTAGCAGATGTGGCACCTCCTTGGCACTGCTGGTGGCTCCCCAGGGAATTGGGGTGGGGAGGAGCCATCAGAGCTCCACTTGTCCCTGGTTTGGCCATCAATAAACCCAAATCATGGAATCACAGGATCATTGGAGTTGGAAAAGATTTCCCAGACCATCAAGTCCAAGTTGTGCCCAACCCCCGCCTTGTCCCCATCCCAGAGCTCTGAGTGCCACCTCCAGGAATTCCGTGGACACCTCCAGGGATGGGCACTCCAAACCTCCCTCGGCAGCTCCTCCCAAGGCCTGACCCCCTTTCCATGGGGAAATTCCTGCTGGTGTCCAGCCTGAGGCCGTTCCCTCTGCTCCTGTCCCTGTTCCCTGGAGCACAGCCCGACCCCCCGGCTGTCCCCTCCTGGCAGGGACTTGTGCAGAGCCACAAGGTCCCCCTGAGCCTCCTTGGCTCC